TGAAACAAGTGATGGTGCTTCGGAAAGTGTAAAAACTCGTGCTCATCTCGAATTTTCCTCGTTAATTGATCTAAATTTGTTATTTCTTATAACTTTTTGTAATTTCAGTACTGATTAGAAAAAGCTCTTCACAAAACTTCCAAATCTGCTTTCAGATTGAAAATTCGTCATAACTTTGAAGAAAGTTATAATCATTTGAATATTTGTTCAAATTTCAATAGTAAATAAGCTGCTCCACGGTCAACGCCAAAGTCCAGTCAACACACAGCTGGCGAAGGCGGTTACAAGGCTTCTTTCAAGCGAAAGGGGGACGTGTAAATTGAGAACCACAATCTGTGTAGTACTAGAATTTGGTAAGTCTTGTGGAGGAAATAAATAAAGAAGAGATGTTGTCATAGTATGCCATTTTTAGTGGCTAGTTTGTCGTTTTTTGCTCTGTTTCTCGTTTGCTCGTTTGGTAGGACTCATCAATAATGATCATTCTTTGACTTTTTCACTTTTGTACTTCTTAAACGAATTTTTTTTGTGGACGGTGGGGTAGCAGGGCTTTTTTATGAGCAGTTTTGGGGGAGAATTAAACAACCTTTTCATAGTTCGGCTTTTGAAGAGGGTTGTTTCATGGACTTCGGCCTCGGCGGAGGGGGAGGGGGGGGGGTCGTATTTCCAAATTTTCCTCGACGCCTCGCTTGACCCTGGCTCCACACAAAATCCACGGATGTAGAGGCCCGAAAAATTGCTCCTGTCCCGCGCGACCGAAAATGCAGAAATATGCGGCGTTGTCAACGTGTCAACAAAAAACAACGCGCCTACGTCGCATGACTCTTTAGGAGATGCTCCGCGCAACGTGCTTAGCCTACATGTCGTCAGTGGGAAGTAGCCGATGGACAGATCAGGTCCTTTCTCTGCGAAGATCCTTGTGCCAGAACCGATATGGATGATTGTGAGGCTTTATTGGCTTGGTCGGAAAACGCCTCGAACCAGATGTTCTTTTCAGGAATCATATTTGTGATTATGGCGCCACTTGCACCAAAAGAAATTAGTAATGGGACATTGTAAAGAAAAAGCTAGCCACAACGATTAGCGGCAACAAGCACATCGCTTTTGAACGACATTACTGCTTCCTAACATCAACACAACTACAACACAACACCTTTTAATTATTTTATTCATGAACGTGTAGACATGTGAAAAAAAGATTCGCACTTCGGATTTCAGGGACTGTGGTAAGAGATAGCAAGTAGATCAGACTAGTACTGTTAAAACGAAGGACAAGCACGACCACTATGAAGCCATACCTTAACATTCACGACACACTTACCATAGTATCACAGGCCTCGGAACTGACGACAGTGAGTGAGTGCTACGGAAAATGGTAAAAAAAAACATATCCTGTGGAAAAAAGTTTAATTACCCTAAGCAGCAGTTCGAGTTCGTGAGAAAAGCTTATTGCTCAACAGCAGGACGTCTCAATTTACATCTTTCCTTGAACATGACTAGAAAAGGAAAAGAAAAAGATAACAAAAAGACAGCGAAACTAATAGTTTTTTGATGCAAGTAAGATTTATGCGCTCTTGAAGTCTGATTGAGGATCCTATGCAGAGAAATGCGACAGAGGCCACAGCTACACCTAGAGGATCACGTGAGGATAGAAGGATGTGTTTAAATTGAAAAATGAAATGAGTGACTTTATCAAACGGAGCCTTCGATCACTATTATAGTCACCTTAAAGTGGTCAGATTGACAAAAATCATATCCATGGAGTGGAAAAGTTAACTTGAATTTGATTCGAACCGCTTCCACGTGGGCACTATCAAGCCCCACCAGATTGCCGACGCACTAATTAGGAAAGTGGAAACACTTAAAATAGAAGGAGCTGTGGAAAAAGAGCTGCATTTTTGAGGCATGAATCCCCAACACTATTTGTTTATGAGTGCACAAAGATGTTTGAGCTTTACTTTCGACAACCAGTATTCCCGCTTATTCTAAAAAAAACACTGTGCATACTTTCAAGTACTGAAATCCCTCCTGAAAAGAACCTTGGCTGATGGCTATCCTACACAATTCAGACCGATAAAAGGTTGACAGACATGATCGTAGTGACAAATAATAGAAGAATCAGCGAGAGAAAAGAGTACGGTGAGATTACTAGTAACATCGACAAATGTAGAGAGACGACGGCGATTTGCAGCAAGGTAGATAGATTCGGCCCGAGCATACCATAACGCTATATCGAAAGATTTAGCCACACAAACAGAGTTCGCCTCTCAGATGTTCTCCAGCACCATCTTCTTGTGCACTTCGGTATGCTCGACAACCTAAAGCGTAGCACGCTCATCAATTGAACCCACTCTTTTTTACAAACTTAGATGCGGATATTCGACAAAATGACTGGGTTTTAGAAACTTTTCAAATTTCGGAAGGCCGCTTAGAAACAATATTTTCAATGTTCTAGAGGAACCAAAACGAGAAAGAACATGGCTGGCATTGACATGCTAAGAAGAAGAAAGAAATGCTGGCAGTAGCAAATAAAATGAAACGCTAAAAGCGGATCTATGTAGAAGTTGAATATACGAATTCACGTACTCAAATTCCAAAGAAAAACGCCAAGCTAAGTGTCTATACACGCGAGAGCAATGAAAATTTGATTCGTAGGTCACCGGACAACCGATAAATCAACCTAGAGTACTAAAATTTTCGAAGAGATAATATCCATGAAAGAAAGGAGAAAACAGTAAGCCACGCAGGAGCGAACTCTGGCGATAATTTCGGCTCTAGCTATATGGCTTTTATTCTGCGAGGACTCAGAAGGAATTTCAGATTTTCTAATTCTCTTGGAACTGTTTCTAACCACAGCATTTAGATACGTTTTTTCATTCATTTTCAGGCTACTGTAAATTCATTCATTTCTTAGTTCTGCAATATCCATATTGGATTAAACTTGAAGGCTGTTACGATACAGTGTGGTACCATGCATTGAAGAAATAGGATAACCATGACAAAATCTGAATGAAAAACTGAAAAAGGACCACACCATGGCGGTTAGCATACAGAACTATGCTACATGACAAGCAAGGTAGTACGATAGAGAAAGGATGAAGCCGCTAATTCGTGCGCCATGCACCATTTCAGACAGAGGTAAGCAAACCAGCCCTTTTGGCGTTTCTGCTGGGGCCGTATGCTGAATGTTGGGGAGGGGATGGGGTCCCCGAGTCGACGGACTACTTCAACTCGGTCGGTACGGTAGGAGAGTGATGACGAAGTGGTGCAGCTAGGTCCAGCAGCTCCGCCAAAAGGGGCTGGTTTGCTTACCCCAGGACTAAGCCTTGGAGAGAGGACGGACCTGCGCTCTCTCGCAGGTCCGTCCTCTTAAGGCTTAGTCCTGAGGTAAGCATCAAATTGAGGCGGTTTTAAGGACCGAGTTGAAGTAGTCCGTCGACCGTCGGGGACCCCATCCCCTCCCCAACATTCAGCATACGGCCCCAGCAGAAACGCCAAAAGGGCTGGTTTGCTTACTTCATTTCAGACATAGACCAACACTACTGGTTCGTCGTAACATTATGAAATATAAATAACGCGAAATAAACTCTTCATAAACTTACGTCGCAAAACTCCTGAAATGATATTCTTCCGTCGCCATCCTTATCATGGAATAATATCGTTTTGTCGACAATTTGTTGCAGTTGCGAATCTTTTAAATTATTACCGACCATCATTTTCAGTACCTTCAAAATCAGCAATAACAGTTTCCAAGCTGATTCACTCAAGAAATAAATAGAATGGAAAACTAGTATGTAAGAATGTGAATTCAAACAAGTTCAGATACAAATACCTGGAACAATTCTCCATTTGATATGAAACCATCTCTATCGATATCGTAAATGCGGAAAGCGACTAAAAATGAGAGCATAACAAACAGAATAACAGCTCGTATAATGTTGAACTCACATTTAAGTTTAACATTCTTGTCTCCTTTAACGCTGAACTGTGATATACCTTGTATAAACTCTGAAAATACACTCACATCATACTCCAATTTCCTGAACGCTAAAAAAAGAACTAGGATTGATGAGAACGCCAATACCAATCCATCCCCTACTAGGAGGCGCGAGTAGAAGGCAATGTATAGCACAGGTTTGTTCTTTACAGAGTACAGACTGCTCGGCGAAGGAGACCAAGGCAAGCAAAGAGGCAGAAGTTTACAATTTCTAATATCACAGGAAGGAAGCATGTTTACGGGCATGAGAAGGTTCAAAATAATTCTACTCGTAACCTTGATTAAGTAATTCCTGTACTGCAAATTCCTAAGGCGGCTATCAATGATCAGTACCTGGGATTGGCACCTTAAGGCCTCATGAAGATCGCATAGACACGAGCTAAACTAATTTGCGGGTGAGGAGCTTCACCTTTAAGGCCGGCATTGAGTATTTCAAGTTATTAGAAAACGTACCCTTTCCTTTGCTGCTGGTGCAATTTAAACGCCGTGTAATCAAATTGCTGCTACAGAATGGCGGATCCTAATGTTTCCTGAGGCTGATGTCAGAGTCCGCGATCCTTTGCGCGATTTTCGCGAAACCTGCGATGGATCACAGGAGTTGGAAGTGCCCGATGAATACTGCGAGGTGTTGTTTAATCCTGCTGCGAATTCTGCTTGGCAGTAAAGATTGGAAGACGAATGTTTGTGGTTCTACTT